AAGCCAGAAGAAGGTCTGCCTTTGTGAACACACAACAGAACAAGTAAAACAAACAGTCTGCTCTATAAGATTTAAGGACTTATTGTACATTTCCTAGAAAAGCTCAACTTTAATGATACATAGAACTCGATGTCTGTTATTACTGCACCAGTACTGGCTGAGGTAAACTAGGTTCCATTTCTACTAGAAATTGTATTTTGTGTCACTGATAACGTCAAGGTTTGGGAAAGAATCAATCACTGTAATATAGTTACAGCCTTAACTTCTAAAGCTCATCAGAAGAACTTTATTTGTGATCACATCTCCATTTTACCTGTTTATTTTCTACCTCTTCTCTTGCCTTCACATGGCCAATCAGAGGGATAAACGTTTTAACCAATCAGGTGTACCATTTTCAATCTGATTAGAGTACATTTTTCTTCAGCATGTTTGATTTTCTATTTGCCAGTATACTACAGAGCAACAAAGTAGTAATATGTACTCCTAAGGATATCTAGGATTCCTGGCTTTGTCTTTTTACCTTCTAGCATGCCATTTGTGCCTAATATACTGCTTTTCTACTTGTGAGTAGGAAGACCCTGACCAGCACATGCTATTCTTCTCTTCTTTTTATTGAACAATAAGAGATAAAAAATTTGGCCAGAGATTGTCACATATTTGTAACTCAGTAAAATTCTGACTGTGTTATTTTGTGGAAATAGTCTTTCATTTGCCTCAAACACTTCCAAGCTAACAAATATAAATTTGGGGAGTTAAAAATTCTACAATGTATTTATTTGGTATAATCATATAACTGATCATGTTACACCTATCACTTAGTTCTAAAATCTATGCATGCAAATGACGTAGATATATCATATCACTTGTTGGTTTATAACAGTTGCCACACCCTGTAAAATTAGTTCTCAACATTTCAGGCATTTAAACTCATACTTTAGCAAGTTATTTTATTCTCCTTCCAAATTAATTTCTTTTGGGTGTTGGAGCAAAACCAACTAGCTAATTCTGTTGGCATTAATCTGTCCTCACACTTCTTATTTAAACTGTGTCCTACTAGTAGTCAGAGGCAATCACAGAAACAGATAGTTGCTGAAGGGTCAAATTCACTTTCCATGTTCCCCTCAAATTTTCACCTTTTATTGGTTGTTTTATCCCATAGAATTCATTATGTTTTCTGCCATAGAAAGTTGCATATTCTACAGTGGTAATAGCCAAAGCAGATTCATTAAGAGAAAATTTATTTTGTTGAGTTCATGTTTATTACCATCTCTTCCACTATCACAAATCTCATGAAGTGGTTGAATTGCACTGGACAGTCTGAGGAAAAGGTTGACACTTACAAATAGTACAGTTCAGCTCAAACATCTGATAACTGTGCATTCTTTTTGCAGGAAATAATTTTTGATAGGTACTTTTCCTTACCGAATTACCATCACATTCCATACCATCTACACATATTTTCCTGAGAAATTTTTGAGCTACTCAACAGCTTATCAAAGCACAAGCCTATGAACTTGTATGGATTTCTGTTTTTGGGTTTTGCTTACTTTTCTACAATTGAACAAGCAAGGCTATCACCTAAAGATTTGCCCGTGAGGATGAGCACTTATCTCCACATCTTATAGAGAGATAAGGAATAGGCCATTCACCACTTCTGACTATGTCAGTAGAATTTGCAATGCTGATAAATTTACAAATCAGGTTCAGGTTGATTCTCATTCTATTAATTTCCTAGCACTTTGGTACCCTAGGTTTAAGGGAAAGAAAAAAATTCTAAAATATCTGCATAGGAATCTGTGACTTCTGCTGGCAAGCATTTTTTTGAACCTTCAATATCTACTCATAACCGATGTCCTTAACTCAATTATTGGTCATATTCATTTTAAATTCATAGAAGTATTTTCCCATGTCCAAACATATGTATTTTATAGGTTGGTAGTTGTTTTGTACATCAAATAACAGTACATACTGAGCAGCTGAGCTTAAATTACAAATTTGTATCTAATTTTATTTGTTTTCTATTGAAAATGTGTCTTAGTTACTTTTATCATTGCTGGGACAAGATACCTGAAACCCAGAGTTAAAGGAGGAAAGGTTTATTTTAGCTCACAGTGTGTAGAGGTTTTATTCAATAGTCAGCTGGTGCCAAGGCAGAGTAGCATGACGGAGAGGGCAACACAGAGGAGAAACAGTACAACAGGAAGAAGGCAGGAAAGCAACAAAACAGCAAAGTATTGAGGAAACAAGCAGCATGACACCACAGCAGCTCACTTTCTGTCCTTTTTATTATACCCAGGCTACATGACCTTAGCGTGGGCAGCACTCACACCCAGGGTGGGCCTTCCCATTACGAACACTCAGAGCTCTGCCAAACAAATCAGCGGACTAATTTAACAACCACACACTCTTAATCCCAGCCCCACACACTCTAGATCCAGCCACTTCTGAAAAATCACTACCTAAGAGGACATGAGGCTTTAGCAGCTTAATAATAAATATATAAATATATACGCTCTTACAGTTGCGGACGTGAGGAGTCCAAAGAGCTGCATTCTTCCTGGAGGCTTTAGAAAATAGCCCTGTTTATTGCCCTTTCTAGCTTATGTATGCATTTCTTTGATCACGGTGCCAAATTCAGACACACCACGTTTATTCTGCAATCTCTCTCTCCCCCCTATTTTTCTATATTCCTGGTTTCTCCTTCTGTCATTTCCTTGTATTGATTTAGTCTCCTTTCTTCTATTCTGCGTACACTGTGCCCAGTGTGGAATAATCCAGGAAAATCTCCCCACTTCATAACCCTGAACTTGGTCGCGTCTAGAGAAGTGATTTCTTTTTCCCATGTGAGTAACACACTCATAGTTTCTGGGGATTAGGATGCAGTTATATGTAGGAGAGTAGATTATTAAACCTACCATATTTCTGTGGAGTACTTCAGTCTCACCCAAGGATGGAAGATCCAGTAAAAATTCACGCAAGATTTCCAATAGAGAATAAATGAGAAGGAAAGGGCGTGGCCTTACAAACACCACCGTCATGTGGGACTCACAATATCTCTCTGGGCTTTGTCATCATGCCATGAAATCTGCCTCTCTTACACGGATCGTTAACAACAGTTTCGAAGTGATAAGGCATAATTGCTGGATATATTGAAACCTAGATTTTGTTTACATGCACTTTCCTGATCTAGGCACAATTCAAAATTGGCAATTTTCAAATTAATCAGGAAATAGATTGAAATAGCATGGATAAACATGACCCAGAAGATATAAAAGAAAATCCACTAAGTGCTGTTCCTCTTTAACAATGGTGATTTTTTAAAAGATGCTACTTTTTTCCTTCCTTTCTATAGCATTGGCAAATATTCCCCAGAGCATGGAAAAGCAAGATATTCCATCAATTGTGTAGATCACCCAGTGGTAAAGGGCTGATTTTTCACCATTTAATCCTCTTATGTTTTCAGTAAAGTTCTGAGATGCTGGATTTTCCTGCTTACCCATGTTCAAATGATCAGGAAGTCAGTAATATAATGCAATGGTACCATACGCTTGCAACCTTAGGACAATCCATGCTCCTAGTTCACAATATTTTATGACAGAGAGGTTACACAGGCTTGAAACAAGACACAAAAGGTATATGCTTATGTTTATAAGGAGACAGCAATTTGCTGTGCTTTCCTTTCCTGGCAGAGATAGGGAAGAAATGCATTGCTATTCCATAGTTGTATACCAGGTGTTAGGACCTGTGTTAATTTTCTCCAGGAGAGATACCATATCTGGAAATGCAGCTGTGATTAGAATCGCTACCTAATTACATAGTGATAATCGACTGTCATTCTACTTGACACATCTGGCTTTGCACTGTACAAATAGGCATGTTAAATGGGGATGCGGTAGGAATTAGCTCTCTTGCATATTTCAGCTCTTTCATGGTGACACTAATCTTTGTATTTCCTCTAGGGATGTGATGTTTTTGTTTAGTTATGTTTCCTCTATGACAGGTTTAGTTGGTGCTATTCTGGTGTAGTCAATTTGGACTTTCCTACCAAAATACTCTTTCCCTGTGGATCAATCAATGTGCCAAGATTTTTCTTGTATGGTACTGGGGATTGAATCAATGGCCTCTGCATGGATCTACATTTCCATTCCTTTAAAAACGTATTTAGAGACAGGATCTCATTCAGTTACCTAGGGGGGTCTTGAACGTGCATTCTTGCTTCCTCTGTCTTACAGAGTGCAGCATTGCATGCATGTCCTAACATACCTGAATCCAATGTGAACATTTTTATTGTAATTATTTATGTCTATGTGCTCTATATATTTTAGATGGAGAAACATCATTATACAATGTATCTGAGTTTATACCGCAAGCTAATTGTACCAACACTCCATTTATTGCTGAACCTCAGTAGTTATCCTCTTCATCATTCTTTGCCAGGAATAGAACAAATCTAGCATACAGTAATCCTTACAAGTATGTTATCTCTCCACTACTTAAACTGGTATGGAGAAAGATTCAAAATACAGATTTCTGAGTATTTCAAGGTTCTTCTTGAAAAGATTCTAGCTTCCCCTTCATGCAAATTTTGTAGGCCTATAAACTCATTTTACTTTTTGGATGAGCTAAGATATAATAAATTTCCATCACTGTGACTCAAAAAAGCTTCTGCCACCCAAATATAATTTTTTCTTCTTATTGATGTCAATACATACCATATGTGTTCAATAATCTCATGTCTGGAACTAGATTATGCAACATTACTGACGATCAAACCAGAAGCAAAAGCATAACCCAGGCTATGAGTGTAACTGGAAAATTCAGTGAAAACTTAAATTTAAGAAATTGTTACAGTGAAGGACACATTGTCATTAATGCAACAGAAGACACTCGTCCTCACTTCTTATGCATTTACACCATCATTCTTGACACTTTCGGTAGTATTTCTGGAAGTCCTCTTTTAGGAGTGTTTTAAGCAACTTAGATATCCTGAATTGACTCACAGTGTTTATCCCCCATGTTCATTTTATCTCTGCTGAAGAGCCAGAAGTCCCCAGGTCTCAGATAAGGTGAGTCAAGTGAATGAGGATATCCCGTCATGTTTTCATGAGCTTGCATTTCCATTGGCTGTCGCACAGGAGCAGCATTCATATTTCATCATAATTCATGAAGATGCTCTCACAATAGAACTTCTAAAACTGCTGTAGAAAGTGGAAGAATGATGAATCAAGTTAATGAGAAAACTGGTGAGGATGCTGAGTAGGTGGAAGGTGACAGAAAACACCAAACAACTCATCACAACAACTCAAAACAAACAACAAAATTACAACTCATCACAAATAAGAGCTGGAGACATTGGTCTGAGCAGGACAAAAGGCAGTATCATGGATGCTAGCATCATCTTGCCAGCTGAGCATCAACAAAGCCCCTTGGCAAAAAAAGAAAAAAAGAAAGTGCTGTTTCCAAGTCTAACTCAGGCTCAACACTGCCCCTCCAAATGACTCAGCTCTGTTATAATAACGAAGTCAAAGAATAAGAGCCAACTAAATCCCACTGGGTGTCCTCTGAAGTTGTTTTCTCAGACCCACTTGTTCAAGAACATGGTATCCAAAAAACAAAAAAAACAAAACTTCATCATTGAAGATGAATCCTTCTCTTTTCACTGAAGAAAAGCTCACTCCAGATTTTGTCTCCATCAGCTACCCTCCTTTCCTCTTTTAAGGCACTATAAAATTGGAATTTGAAAACGTATCACTTTTCTTCATTCCTATTCATATTTGTTGGGAGCAATTCTACATAATTTTTGGGAAAAATTCTTCACAATTAAATTATGATTATGCCTAGTGTTCTTGCCTACCCGCCAGCTATGGCATGTTGAGACACACTCCATTTTCACCTCAGGTCACAGCTAAAACATCAGTGGTCCTGGGATGCTGTGACATTCCAGGACAGGATTACTTCACCTGAAGACATCCTGGTTCTTTGAGACTAGAGAAGTAAGTGAAAGGTTTCATCTGGGTAAAGACAAATTCCTAATCAACCTGAGTTCCTCATCATGCTAGGATTATTGCTACCTTCCTAGTCATCTGTTACCAATTAACTCAATAAAGGTGTGGCAAGCTTGGGGTGCCATCATCTTTGCTACCTAGGAAAGCATTTATCAGATCTAAAGATCATCTTTTTGTAGGTTTCATTTCCTATCTTTACTCATTAATTTGTCTTGTGCTATTGTGGCTCACAAGAGACCAGGACACATTGCAGGGGTTCCGATAACATCCCCTTTCCTTTTTCTCTACAAATAATGTTTTGTTTTCCTTAAATTTGTTACCTGTTTGTTAAGTTTATGATACTACCAAACTTCTTGCTGCCTTGTAAGTTTACAACCCTACACTGCCATGTTTAAAGGAACATTTTATAGAGCTTATTATGATCTATTGCATTTTAAAATTTAATGAGTATTATTATTTTCTCTAGGAGACAATTGATTCATATCAGTATCATGTGAAACTGAACAGAATGTTATGCTGATGAATTCCTGAACTCCTGCTCTGAGGAAACAATGAGATAATAAATATGTGATATTTTATTGTGGATAAACATTTGATTATTTATTGTTTAGTAACAAAATGAATATAACAATGTCTTACCAAATAGATCTAGTTTTCTCAATACTTTAGTTATTGCAACAGGTCATTTTCTCTGCAGACTCTGATTATGCATATCTGTAATGCTAAGTGAAACAGCACTTGAATAGTAGTAGTGCTAGCAACAGAAACCTGGGCGTAGTGGTGCACACCAGAAGTTTCAGACCTCCAAAAACTGAGGAAGGAGGATCACTGTGAGTACTAGGCCAACCTAAGCTACATAGATAGACCTTGTCTCAACAAACCAAAAACAAAATAAAACAAAGCAGACCAAAAAGAATAAAGGCAGAAGGAATGAAACACAAAAGGAATAAGTCCAGGATGTCTACAAAATTATAGTGTGAGTTCTTCAAATCCAGCAATTGATAATGTTATTATGCATTGGCATTGTTACACATTTAAAGATAAGTCAAAAGTACAGATTTCTTAAAAATTATGGCACCAGTTGGAAAAAAAAATGTCATGCTCCCCTTTATCTGAAAGTGGCAGAAACAAAATAAGTCAGCAGAGAAACATTTTGTTGGGATATGTGTTGTACAATTAAAGAACATAAACATTTATTTACAGTTTTTATTGAGTTCATCCTTTTTAATTCTACATGTAAACTCTTCTACTTTCCTTCTCATTCTTTAAATGCTTCCTATATATTTTATTCATTTATTAATAAAATAATTAATTATTAAGTATTTGTTATGGAAAAACCATTATTTAAGTCATAATATCACAAAAAATCATAAAAATTTCCAGCTTATATGAAGTTAACTTTTCAAAATGGTTTCCATGGAAGAATAATTAAAATTCACACAATGTCAATGTTGAGAGCAGCCACAGAGACATAAAAAGAGAAAATATATTACAAGGAGACTGTGATGTTATAATTGGGCTGCTTTATTCTATGCAACTTCTACCACCTAGAGATACAAAAGTAAAGAGAATAAGATGGTCACTCTTAAACAGCTCATTATTTGGTGCAGCTGACATGCAAGACATTCAGACTGTATTCTAATGAATACTGTGGGGATTTCAGTATGTACTAAAGTACAGAGTCTTAGGCAAACATAAAAAAAATCCCAGAAGTAGACAGAAATATCTTCACATGTACAAAAACTATATTTTAGTTAATAACATTCAAATATTTGGCAGATGTTCTACATTTGTATGCTATAGTACTTTCTAAATTTTTAAGATCTGGTTTAAATTGAAATCCCATATGTGTTCTTCTAGAAAAATCATATTACACAATTCTGAACTGGATCTTAATTATACAAAACTAGAGTTCTCTGTGATATCCCATAAATACTTCGGGATACATTTTCCTTATAAAGTGCCACAATAATCTATGATTATTAATATCTTTGATTGCTCACAACAAGGAAATCCTCCAAGCTGAATTTTGCAAATTTTTTGAAGTATGACAGACCTAAAAATCTTCATTTTCACAGTAACTAAGAGACAAGTGTAGTATAACACATCTCTTATAAGCTCAGTGGAACTCAGAATCCCACATGAATTCATGAGACCTGTCATAAGTGTAGGGAAAAATGATTGTTGAGATAATAAAGATGGCACAAAATTTTCTCAGGGACAACTAAAGATAGCAAATTTCAGACATCAGACTTTAGAAAAAAAATAAATTCATAAAAATGTTAGGGCATTGCCATGGAAATGAAGAGCTGTATCTCCTTATACAATGGTCTGTGAGGAAATCTAAGAAGTAACGAGGGAAAAAAATGAGAACCAAGACCTGTCATGTAAAGGTACAAGAGCCCAGTAATGAGTGTAACTGTACTGTATACCTAGAATGTACCAATAAACTCAATAAAAATAGATAAAGAGAAAAAAAATAAGTAATGAGGGGAGCCCAGGGTCTGCATTGACTCTCTGCCTTAGATAGTATTCTACGTCTCCATAAAGGATGAATGCTATTGCGCAATATTTTCTACTGCTATAACAGACGAGGCATCCATTTAGTGACAAAGATTGAAAGCTTCCGTTCCTGACTCCACTCATTCTCAAGGAGCCCATTTTAGTACTTCAAAAAAACCCCAACTCATTCAAATAAGAGTGAAAGAAACAGAACATAGCTTCTTTAAAGATAGAATTATTTGGATCTAGGTCTTGTAAGGAATAGATAGACATAAAGGGCAAATTCATTTTACCACCTCTACACTTTCAAACTTCGAAGAATTTATTTACTGGCTTCTTTGTTTATTTGTTTATTTAGTCTTTCATTCATTTTGCTAGGAACCAGAGGGGATATTTCCAACTGACATGTTTAGCAGTAAACAAATTCATAGTTTGAGTACGTAGCAATCACAAAATTTTGTTCCTTAGAGAGTTGCTACAGTAAATTATGAGTATATTAATAGTTCTACTTTTTTCCACCAATTTGTTTTGTTTACACTTTCTGCGACACTTTCTGTATCTCCTAAAATTATCTAAAAACTTTCCCTGCTTCAAAATCAGGAGAAATTACTGGCCTGTTGCAAGAAGAAACAGATGGCTGAATTAAATTGCTCTTCTAAGGAGCAATACAAAATAATTACATAGTAAAGGGTTAAGATGTGGAACAAATTTGCAGGATATAATAGTTAAATGTTGCCCTCTAAAACCTACAATATTGGGGGATTAAGATAAAAGTAAGCCACTCATTATCTGTAATTGGTCACTTTTTAGAAAACAAATGAACGTTTTCCAAGCTATTACTTGGGTACAAGTGTTAAATTTTGCTTCCCTTTTAAAAAATAACTGCCAGAAATTCTCAGTCGAAACAGGTTAACTCTTTATTCATTAGTAATTTTCCATGATAAAATTTGAATATATTTTCAAAATACTATATAATTATATTTTTACCTGAAGTTGAGCATGTGAATATGTTATAATACAGCTTGATTGAATTCAGTTGATATGGTCAAATCCTCCGTTGATCTTTGAACCTGAATAATAATTCATCAGCCAGTGTCTTGTAAGTTGAAACTTTTACTACAAAAAGATTAAAAATTATCTTTCAAGTTATTGCTGTTCTTCTTATTAAAATACAGTCAATTTATATTCTAAGTCCTTATCAGGGGTGTTTTAACTCTTAAACTCTTCCATCCCTGTATCTTGTCATGTTCTGGGTTGACCTTATGCTACTGACCAGCCAGTAACAGTATTTGAACATGTGGCTATCGCATGGAATAGTGGTCTTTTGTATACTGTGTAGGGGATACGGATGATAGTCATTTCTGGGTAATATTTTGTAGTCATCCATCTAATCTTCCTAAACATTGGCAGTTTTTATTGCTTTAACACTTGACTGGATGAGGTGGAGACAGAGAGTCCTAAATTATATGTTCTGATATTTTTCCTCCCTTACATGAGCTCTGATGATAGAATTACTATCTTATCCACTATAGTTTTCGTCTTTTTACCTTTCTTTTGCATTTAGTCTTTTG